CATGTGTGGAGGAATGAAATGGGTACAGGATCGGAAGGGGGTGAAATGATCTTGGATTTTGCTTGGGTTGGTGGGGAATGGCCTGGTGGGGGTTGTCCTGCGGGCTACGGAGGATATATGATCTTATCCTCCTGTATGTATGGGACCATAACACTGCAAGTGATGTTGCATTGTACAGCACGTGTTAGTTATTAGTAGCATTAGCTAGTTCCTTGTAGTTAGCCTAGGTAGCACCTAACAGTCTGTGAGAAGTCGGGCTGAAGGAGCCACAAATCACCAAATTTTTCGGCTTCGCGTTCATTTTAAAGCAGGGAGTGAAAAAAAAAATTGGCTCATATGAGCAGTGCTGCTACAGTATTGATGTAGGATGAGCCAGAGCAGCAGGAAGCTATACCAAACAGGCCGTAAGTAAACAGGATTTTATTAGGGCTCTGAACTTCGGTGGCAGTTTGACGGTTGGAGTAGTTAGAGTATCTTGCAGCTGTAGGTAGCGCCATGGTTTGTCTTGACTGGTAGGGCGAAGGTAAGTTGTGTCTAGGTGGTGCAAATGCACCTAGACGAAAATGAAATAGTAGCGGGTCTAGTTAAAATTTATGCATATTATAAATGTTATTGTTTTATTATATAAAATTTTGTTAAATTTGAAATATTTTGACTCTCTAAGACAGTTGGAATGATATAATTTGGGACGAAGGGAGCTAGGAGTATACCAACCACTAATAGGCTTTCGAACAGAACTAGTCAAAGCCAGTCAAGTTAGTAGATTGGAGGAATCGATGTAGTACCACTGAGAGAGAATGACCTGTTAGCTGCAGCACAGCTGCTGCTGCTACAGTACCAGGAGATAGTGGATTGCAGCCAGAGCCGGGCTTGCAGCGCTGCGCAGCTGCTACAGCCCCTATAGAGGGCAATTGCAGCCAGAGCTTGTAGCAGCAGCTGCAGCCATGGCAGCTGAATAGGCCCGTACTTTGCCTTTAAAAAAAAAATACTATACCTCAAAAAGACATGTTCTTTTGAATTTATTAGCCGTACTTTTTCAGCGAACGAACGGTGTTTTTCTCTCACAATGAATCAGCATAAGCATCAGCATAAACCAAATTTCAGCAAAACGAACATATTTTTAAATAATGGAACAAAGTTCCAGCCTCTGCATCTCCGAACGAGTGCTTAGATGTATCTCCCTTTTTCTCGGTAAATAAATCAATGCGATAATATATAGGATGAGCAGTCACCAGATAGACATAGTTACCCAAAGCGTTATATAGCTATTCTTTTACTGCCATTTCACAATGATAATTATTATACATCAAAGAGAGAATGCTCCTGCAGCCTGACATGTAATTTTCTGAGACCACAGCGTCGGTGGTCGGTCCACTGATGCTGATGCCAGCGGCCAGCATCAAATAAAGTATCTTTCCCCTTCTTCTTTTTTCTTGGAGTAAAGAAAAATATAAGACGGCAGATGGATCGATGCCTATCGTTTTTTTTTCATTTAAACTTATCAGCCGACTTATCAGCTAAAATCTATAGTATTTTTTTCTCAGCTTTAGCTGGCTGCCAGCCGAACATGCCCATGCTGCTGCTGTTGCTAGTTGCTCGATGTGGCGAAGAAAATAGCAGCAGGATAAGGAAGAATATCCTGCTTGGTTTCGCTCTAGTGCTTGTACCTCCCACCTGGCTGGTGCACGCATGCTCCATCAGAATCTCAATGCGGGGTGCAATTAAGCAAACGGCCACTGGTCCCTTTTGCGACATGGAATGGACGACCTTCAAACTGCTGGTTAGACTTGGCATCAGCGGCAGCCGCGGTACTTAGCATACTAAACAAGGCAGTAGCGTTGCTTTATTTTGTTCTGAGCGACTAGTGGCGGCTATTGCATTCTAATGCTATCCTATCTATCCAATAAGCTGCACAGGGTACATCCGTACATGGCCATGCGATGGGGGGAACTGGGAACAGGACAAAGCTAGCCACGCCACTGCAAAGGACGACGGAGAGGATAGAGAACCTGCCGAGCAAATCTTGGTGGGTGTCTTGCGCTGGGGAACCCGGCCGGTCAAATCTTGGGCTCTAAGCACCTCGCCAAGTCTTGTAATTGAACCCTCCCGCCTGCCTGTTCCCTTTGCCTTTGCATTCTAAAATATGGCACTTCGTTTCGTTATCAGGGCCTACGTACCCTAGGGCTTACTAGGAGACAGGCAGAGAAAGATTATTGCAGGCGCTAACATTACATTACGCTAGTGTCCACACGCGCTGATCCTAAGCCCTGAATTGTCAAGAACAAAAAAAGGTTTGTACTACACGCGCGATGCACATTTCGCGAACGGCTATTCCGATCTTTAGCCGGTGGGTCAGCCCCACGCCACGCGTACACAAATGAGAAGTAGTACCAAGTACGTATTGGTCGTGCCGTCCTTGGTCGGGGGAATTGATCATTTCGACCTGGGGCTGGGGCACACGGAGAGGATAGAGATAGACCTGCCGAGCAAATCTTGGTGGGTGTCTTGTGCTGGGGAACCCGGCCGGTCAAATCTTGGGCTCGAAGCACCTCGCCAAATCCCTTTACACGTACGTACCCTGTATCGCCGTACAACATTTCGTCGACCGATCCAGCCGTCCGTGTGCCCCAGCCCCAGGTTCGAAATGATCAATTCTTACGTCCCGCCCCGGCCCCGCGTCGCGCTCGCGCCTCCTCACCTCCGCGGCAGACCGCTTTGATGATGATACGTACGTAGAACAAAAGCGGCACCAGTTGCATTTGCATTGCACCGGACGCTGCAGTGCATATGCCTCTGCCACGATTCCTCAGAGGCGTGTTCGCGGTCCAGGAGCTAGCAACTGCTGTGTGTGGTGCGGCGCATCACGAGTCTGGGCTCTCCCTCAAGCGGCTGCTAGAATGGCGCGTGCTGCTGTGTGTGGTCGTCAGATCCAGAGCTCAGGTGGGCAGGTTGGAATGATGAGCTCTACTAGTACTAGTTCATTCATGTCACTCACAGTGGTTAGGGAACGAGGGAACAAGAACCTAGCCAGGGGAGCAGAGCAGACAAAGGCGCTCAAGGCAAGCTAAGGTGCCTTGCTTGCTCGGCCTCATCAGCAGATGAGCTCGAGTCGGCCAAAAGCTAGCAGCATGGTAGTAGTAGGAGTAGCATTTAGGAGTAGTGCCAGCAGCAAAGCCGGCCCGGCACGGGCAGGCCGCCATGGCGAGGGCATAAATGGACACCTCATGGCGTTACATCATATACTTGTCTCCAGTCTAGAAATTGGACAAGGGCGTCAAGCGCTCAAGCGTCATGTGGAGGCAGTGGCGCACAACAGCGATCCTGAATTCCTGATCGCGAAGCACTTGTGACAATTGAAATCTGGTATGGCTTACAGTGGACTGCTGGCTAGCCGGTCAACTTTTGCCTAATCCACGAACAAACCAAAACAGTCCCAGAGAGCGTGGTGCAGTCAGTCAGTCATGGCGGCTCAGGGTTCACGTGACACGCGGTGAGCTTCGGCCGCCGAGTTCAATGGCCGGACGATGGCACACCAAACTGGACAAGGGCGTCAAGCGTCAGGCATGTGGAGGCAGTGGCGTACAGCTAGTGTAGCATGGCCCATCTTAACGTGCGTGCAACGTACTGCCTGCCACGATAGCTTCTTGGACCATGACGAAGTTCTTGTCGTGTAGTAGTAGTCTGGAGCGCGGCCGCTCGCTCACACACCACACAAACACGACCGTAAGCGTTGGATCGTCTCATCATGGTCATTGCGGCCTGAAATGGTTCGCAAACCAAATCAAGCTTCCAAAATAAACGCTGAGACGCCGAGACATGGCAGTAGGATTTCAGTTCAGTTCATTCACCACTTGGATCGGATCACACGACATCCATGCACGCGGACGGCTAGACTCGCACAGCAGCGGCAGCGCTCGCTGCGGTCGGTGTCCGGTTTATATTTCCGGGGGAGTGCTGTGCTGTCCACATGCTGCTGCTAGTGGAATATCTGGGGCCACATGCTGCTGCTAGTTGCTATCACGTAGATGTTTCACCATCCCTAGCTCACAGTTACATCAGTGAAAACTAGTGTGTTGAAAAACTCACTGCAGACTAGTAAGACAGATTATGCGTACTCAGCTTATTATCAACTCTGTAAATGTTCAAAACTGCTCAATGGCCGCATTGTCTTTTTAGAAGGATCTCTACCTGCATTGTTAATGAAGTAACACATCCACTTATTACTGCTTTGGTAGTGTAGGAAGATGCACAACTGGGAACCCCAATTGTCAGTATGATATGAACACCAATTCCATGTGCAAATGCTCTCTGTCACATGGTCACATGGAGAAGACAGCACACACACACACACAGTCTTTTGGATTACGCTTGCTTTTGAGAAGTTTCTTGGGATCTCCAAGCTAAGAGAGGGACCAATCAACTACCTGTCCTCACCCTAACCATGATCCCAAGTCTCAAACCGTACTTTCCCCTCACCAAACCCTGGCCGGACATGGGCGGTCGCCGGAGTTCCGGTTGTTGGCACGCCAACGTAACTCCAAAAATTCCGTTGGAGCTGAACTCATGTACCATGTGATTTGCAATCGACTTGCAACCTACCTAAAAGCTTTCTAATCCCATCAGCAGACGACATCCTAAACTATAATAATCCGACAGCATAACTAAAAGCAGAAGAAGGCACCACCACATGAAAGAAGCAGTTTACCTGAACTGAATGAGCTTTTAGATTTGGTTATGAACAATTGAACGATGAACTGAACAAAGATTGCAACACACACACAAAAAAAAACATATATATCCACCAACACCAAGAAAGACTAGTTAACCCTCTCTAAATCACCTCACACTTCTTTTTTACTATTATATCCCTCCATTTATTACCAATTCACCATCTCCTTTGCAGTATGGACAGACATGACACATGTGACAAGCTGTGGCCTACCTCGCCGGCCGGCCGGAGCAGAGGAAGCAGAGCACGTGAAGGAAGGTCCTCGGCCACGCTAGACCTCGACGCGGCAGTACGTGGCGGTCTGGAACCTGAGCCCGTGGGCGCCCACCGCGCCGCCGTACCCGCTGCCGGCGCCGGCGCTGATGAAGTACGCCGGGCAGGTAACAAAGATGTGGTAGTGCCCCGACACCCAGCTCCCGACCTTCCACCTGACCCGTCCATCGATCCTGACCTGCAACACAAGGTACCCGGCGGCGATGTCCTTCCTCAGCGCATCCGCGAGGAACGGCGCGAAGGGGACGCCGGGCCCCGCCAGGACCGGCGACCAGACGTCGACGTCGCCGTGGCCCTGGTAGAGCGGCGCCGGCTGCAGCCTGGAGTTGAGCGTGACCTGCTGGTACTTGTAGGACGCGGACACGTCGAGGCGGTCGTAGTAGACGCCGACGCGCGCGTTGGGGTTGCGGGAGGCGAGCGTCACCTGCGCCGTCGTGGAGAGGAGCGGGGCGGACCCGTTGGTCAGGTCGAGCTGCCGGAGCGAGGCGTCCTGCAGGTAGAAGCGCGGGTGGGTGGGGCGCAGGACGAGGTAGATGATGAGCGCGATCACGCCGGCGAGGAGGGCGAGGGTGAGGAGGATCAGGAGCAGGCGGCGGCAGGACTGGCGGAAGTCGTCGTCCGCGTGGTTGCCGCAGTCCTTGCCCATGGCTGCCTGCCGGTGCTTGCTGGAGCGCTCAGAGCTGGCTGGTTGACTGGCTGGTGTGGTGTGTGTTGGAGTGGAGGAGCTTGGAAGGGTGGGCTGGGTTGTGTTTGTGTGTGGCCGTTCGGGAGTGGGTTTTATATTATTATTAATAGGGGTATTTGGGATTGGTGACTAATCTTTGTTTTAATATGATCATGTTGAAATCATGGAGCCGGAGAGAGAGAGAAAGGTCCGTGTCGAGGAGCTTTCTCTTTGCCGGGATTTGTGTCTGGTTTGCCAGAGATATCATCATTGATGGAGAAGGAGAGCACCTTTTTTTTTTTTTTTTACTTTCATCTTAAATTTATGAGGCTGCGATTGTAGGCGAGAGATGTTTTGGCAAAGATATTTGAAGGCACTGATCGGAAAACGGTTTTATGTTTAAAAATTTAGGGCAACGACTCATGTTGTCACGACGAAAATCATTAGACTTCTCGCGTTCGAAACGGGCCTCGATCAGATACGAACATGGGCAGGTTGTGGTGATTTATGCATGACAAAGGGTGAAAACGAACTTTTATTTAGGGTTAAGTTGAACGACTCTGACATTTGGCCATGAGTTTTTTTTTATTTTTTTAAGAAGTGCTTGGTAGAGGCGTCACGTCATACCATGTTTGTTGTTACTGCGTGATCTTACTACTACTGAGGCCTTGTTTAGATTACTCCTAAATTCCAAGTTTTTTCACTCTTTTTCTATCACATCAATTTTTAGCCGCTTGCATAGAGCATTAAATGTAGGTAAAAAAAAACTAATTGCACAGTTTAGTTGGAAATCACGAGATGAATCTTTTGAACTTAGTTGGTCTACGATTGGACAATATTTAACAAATAAGACGAAAGTGCTACTATTCATCGGGTTGAAATTTTCTTCAATCTAAACAAGGCCTGAGTAGTTACTACGTACTACTATAAGTTAAAAACAAACAGTTGGCAAGATAATGCAGCATCCATCCATTAATATGGTGTTTAAATCCGGTGTGTAAAGTTTAGAGTTGTCACATCAGATATTACATGGAAGTGCTCGAATAATAATAATAAAACAAATTATAGAAGTCCTTAATAATCCGTGAGACAAATTTATTAAGCCTAATTAATCCGTCATTACCACATGTCCACTGTAGCACCATGTTGTTAAATCATGGACTAATTAGATTTAAAAAATTCGTCTCGTAAATTAGTCGTAATCTGTGTAATTAGTTATTTTTAGTCTATATTTAATACTCTATGTATGTGTCCAAACATTTAATGTGATAGAGAGTAAACTTTAGAGAAATAAACTAAACAAGGCCTAATAAGTATTCCTAGAAAAGTACACGGTAGGCTTCTCAAAGACGCATACTTAGGTCCTGATGCTAGCTAAGGCCTCGTTTAGATTCAATTTTTTTTGAATTTTGGCTCACTGTAGCATTTCGTTTGTATTTGATAATTAGTGTCTAATTATGGACTAATTAGGTTCAAAAGTTTCGTCTCGCGATTTCTCACCCAACTGTGCAATTAGTTTATTTTTTCGTCTATATTTAGTACTCTATGCATGTACTGTAAGATTCGATGTAACGGATACTGCGCAAAATTTTTTAAATCTAAACAGGCCCTAAGTAACCTCCCAAAGAATAAATATGGGGCCGGCCGTGTGTTTTCCCGAACAAGCTGGTGAGACGAGCGTCGTGCCAAGCAAAGGTGTGCACGCAACAACAGCATAGTACGTACGTATGAGAGAACGCGCCATTGATGGCATAATATCATGCACTGCATGCGTCCGTACAGCTGCTCGCCCCACACACTAAAAAAAAAACAAATTTGTGCAGCGTTGCGATAACGCTCTCCGCGGCGGACTCCTATTTTTGCCCGCTACGGTAAATCCCACGATTTAGCGCGGCGGGCATTTTTTTATTTACTGAGGCGGGCATTTTTGCCCGCCACGGTAAATCAATTTATCGTGGCGGACCTCTTAATATGCTCGCTACGGAAAATACCTATTTTTCATGGCGGGCATATTAAGAGGTCCGCCACGGTAAAATCGATGTACCGTGGCGGGCATCAAAGCCCACCTCGGTTAAGGCCAAGGCCCAATAGGCCTGTAGGCGAGGCCCAGAAGCAATCTTGGTATAAAATGAGCACTTAGGGTTTCATCCTCTTACCTCTCATCCCAGCGCCGCTCCCACCTCGCGACCCCATGACGAAAGCATCCGCGACGACGACGACTCCCTCCGCCGCCGGCGTGAAGGCCTCTCCCACTCCCTCTCTCTCCCACTCCCTCTATCTCTCCCTCGCCGGCGTGTGAAGGCCTCTCTCCATGGCGCAGCAGGACAAGCGAGTCGCCAAGGCCACGCCGTGCAGTGAAGGCCTCTCGGGGCGCAAAGATCGAGCAAGGTCGCCCGCCACCACCTCTCCGTCCTTGCGCCACCACGCTGGTCAGGACCGTGATCGGATCTGGCGAGGAGAGCGCCCGCGTCTTGCATCTCTCTCTCTCTCTCTCTCCCACCTCTCTCTCCTCTCGCAGACCTCCTCATCTCTCTCAGAGGCGAGGAGGCTGCGTGGCGCAGAGGACGGGTGATCCACACGGCGGTGGATCCAGCGGCGCGTCAACTCCCTGCAACGTGGATCCACACGGCGGCGGATCCAGGGCGGCCGCTTCTACTCCCTGCTCCCACGACGTGGATCCACACGGCGGCGACACGGATCCACGGCGAGACGGCCCCAACCTGCGGCAATGGCGCAGATCCTACGAGGATGACCTCCCCGGCGGCAGATACGGCAGGTGGAGACCCCGGCGACGGATCCAGCGAAGTGCGGTGGCGCCAGTATTGGATTGTGAATGGGCTCGTCGGTGGGCTCGAGAATGGGCTCGCCTGCGGGTTCCTGGTTTTTTTTGTTTTTTTGAAACGTTTAACCGCGGTGGGCATCCTAACGTGTCCGCCGCGGTAAATCGGTTAACCGCAGCTGGCAAAGCCGCCCGCCGCGGTTAAGCCACGATTTACCGTGGCCTCTAGGCCGCGGCGGACGGCTTTGCCCGCCGCGGGAAACCGAAAATGTCCGCCTCCAGAAAAGTTTGTGTAGTAGTGACATGGCATAGCGTGGATGCATTGAACACACATGAGCTGAACGGCGTGTCTGTTGGTTGGTTTCTGAGCTGATTTAGACTGGCTGGTGCTGATTTGTTATGAGAGAAAAACACTATTGGCTGGTTGAATAAGTCTGGCTAAAATCAATTAACGAACAGGGTGGAAGAAGCAATGTGCATGGAATAAATGCTAGGCTGCTGGGTTTATGAGCCGTATTTTTTCAGCGAAGGAACATGGTTTTCTCGTATTAAATCAGTGAATAGTACTTTTGAACGAAGCGAACCTGTCGAATATCTTTTGGTGAGAAGCAACGTCGAATAAATAGTTGCGAGAAAAAAAAAGGGAGAAAGAGAGAAGAGTAGTAGTAGGGCGCGTGAGTGAGTGTGACGAAATTGGCCTGGTGTCGGCGAAGGAAACGGCGGCCGGACCGGGAAGGGAGAGGCAGCAGCAGAGAGCGGGGCCGCGGTGTACGTGACACGTGTGCGTGGTACTGGTACCGCCAAGTCCAACCAGTCACGGAGGAGCCTCCTTACCTTTGGTTGGGTTCACCGGTCCACTGACCGTGGGACCACCACAACGGCGAGGATACGTACGTAACGAAGTTGCTCGCGCGTCCATCGGTCACCGTTAGCAACCCAGGTTAACAGCAGGTTCGGCTGATTGGTTCGTATTATTGCTGGTACTGACTGTTTATTGAAACAGTGTCCTTTGAGGGGAGCCGGCCCAGCCGAACACGGCGTAAAACGCTTATCGGCCGTCGTGGGCCGGCCTCTCACAAGGACAATGTGCGTCACGCTTCTTCTGGATGACGAACTTTAAAAACGGGAAACAGAATCATCACCTGTGATTATATTATATTAATATATAATCGTGGAATATATTTTTGTATAATATTGTTGATATATTTGGAGATTCTATATTATATCTTATCTATACGTAGTACCGATAATTAAAAGAATTTTTTTTGGGAGGGGGAGGAAGACCCATACATCTCGCTGCAAAAGAAAAATGTGTTTCACGCGCTCGCACGCGGCAGGCATCCATCCACCCGGCGGGTCTCGGCACGAGTGCGTGGGCCGTGAGCGTGACACGACAGCGTCTCTCGCCCTCCCCCTCTTTATTCCTCACTCATCGCCGCGTACTAGGCAGGAGGAACCTAAACCTTGGTGCCCATGCTGCATCCAGATCCAGTCCAGCCATGACATTTCTTTTCTCCTGCCGCATCATCCGCTTTCATTCATCTCGCAATTAGATCTCTTTCCCCCCGGCAGAATCCGATTCTTGCTCTCCTCTTCTTCTTCTTCTTCTTCTCTCTCTCTCTCTCCCTCCCTCCCCCCCTCCCTCCCCTCCCCTCCCCCCTTTCCCTACCTTTCCGGCTGTGCGTGCGTAACCAACACGGTCCGGCCGGTACCGGTCATGCCCCGCGCGCGGCCGGGGACAGCACGGGGAGGTGGTTCGTTCGTTTCCTGCACCAGCACCTGAATCTTTAATTTAGGAATAGACGATCCATCAGACGAGACGACGATCCATCGCAAAGGGAGCGGCACATTTATGGTTGGGATGGTGGAATAAACGCGACTCTGGGTCAGATTAGATAGAGAGATTAATAAAGCGGAGGAGGACAGCGACCGTGGAGACCGACCGGGGGGACGTTTCTGCAGTTTTGCGACGAGGGATGGACAGACCGGGAGAGAAAGGAAAGGAAAGGGCGATGGCGACCTTTCCCTCCTCTGGCACTCACTGTGGCAGGCAGTCCATTTTTTTTCTTCAGGGGAGGCAGGCAGTCCAATTGCATGCGTCTCATTCATCGCCATCTCGTTTCTTGTCTGCTTATTACTTCTCCTCCTCCGGTGCTCTTAGCATAGCATAGCCATGGCCGGGACGTCTAAACGGGCCAAGCCC